TACGGAATTACCGTGGCTGGAACTATTTACGATGACCAAAATTATTTACGAAATTACGGAATTACAGAATTACAGTGTCAACTATACATGCAACCTAAATTGATTTGCGAATGTCATAATATTACGGCATCTGAGTGATAGCCGTAATGTTGTAATTCTGTAATTAGGCTGTAATGTCATAATACAGACCAAATGTAATAATCAATGTGTGTAACCTAAAAGAAAAATGTTATTAAATGGTCATCTAACTTCCAAAATATGTGAATTAACTTTTGAGCTATACTCATCGATTAATCTCAAGCCTTTATATTCGATGCTTATCAATTAACTCGTTTTACGAATTTGCCGCCTCTTTCTTGTACCTAGAAAGCTTCGGCGAACTTGTAGGCACACTTTCATGGTACAACTAACAACAAATAAAACATAGCCCTATTATAAAGCAATGTATGCTTTAGTAAAGTTCCTTATTTATTACTTTTACTTTTCTTGACTGATTAAATTTAGTCATACATTTACAAAATACTTTAACACAATGCAATAAAGTGATATGTGACAACGACATTGGTTAATAAATGTCAGCACTTTATATCTGGCCGAACAATCTTAACACCTTACGTTTACACAAACACTTAAAAAACAAACCTTTTACGCTTAACAAAACCAAAAAATTAAACCTTTGCTTTCTACCAAAACAAACAACCAAAACTGAATTACAAAACCTCAGAGTTCTACAGTATCTTAGCAAAAGTTTTGGACACCCCAAATACATTAATTATGCAAACACGTACATGATAAAAATATAAATAATTTTTATCAAATCGTAATAAATTTTTCAAGAATATGTATGCGAAATTTCGTATTTTTGTATTTTTGTAATGTCTAGAAGAAAAACAGTTAAAATAAAACAAAAAGTTCGACCAAAAATCTGAAAATTATAGTTTGCCCAAAAAAATTTATTTATTTATTTATTTATACCACTTATCAAAAACACACACAATAACCACACCTGAAATTTAATTATTTGCCTGCAAACCTGTATTTTCATTAAATTGGTCTTTTTTATTCAGCAGATTTACGATTTTCTTTTTTAACAATTTTCTTCAACTCATTCTTATGGTCAACACTCAAATGTTTAAGGCGTCCACTTTTTGATAACTCTTTAACACCATCTCTCTCCTGGAAGTTTTTAATTATTCTGGTCACAGTTGTACTTGCGAATTTAAGTGTTTTAGAAATATATGAAATAGTACTACTGCCTTTGTAAGATCTTGATATGTGAAAGATTAGTTCCTGATAAATTACATCAAAATTACATCATATATTTTTTATACAAGTTT